TTCATTAGCTAAAAGATCATTAGCGTCATTAACTTTAATACAAATGGGGTTGTTTATCTGTTGAAATGTCAGTGACACTAGCATAAACTGAAGTATGCTGGTACCAGGAGGAGGTTATCCTGGACTGGCCCAGATTTTTTTTTTATCCTCTGTGCAATGCTTTTTTAGGCAGCAGTATGACCCAACACTTTCTACGTTTCTTAATGGACACAAAATAAATGCCATTTGTTGTGCAGTGGATTCAATAAATTATCTTGTCTTCTCTGCTCTAAAAATACAAGCCCCATCAGGGACATGAAACTGTTCTACAAAAAAAAAGTTCGGTGTTTGGCAGCAATTTATCGTGTTCTATACAATATATGCAGAATATATGATCATGCTCTTAAAGGTATGGAATCCCTTCCAGTGTTACCGAACGTCTCTTAAAACTACAAATCCCAGAGTGTACACTTGGATAATTGGTAGCATGTATGCTATTGTCAAATTTTTTAGAATAGTTGGAGAGCCACAGATTGCTGAGTACTGTCTGCTAAAGTGCAGTCAGCACTAAATGCTTGGCTTGAGTGAGCAGAGCCAGAACATTAATGCAAACAAAGGGTGCGATTGGAAGATTATGGGGGAGGATGGAGGTAGGGGCGGCAGTCTGGAAAGGATGAATGTTAAGTTACAACCAACTTTTCTGTACACGATAGCAACTATTTGCTAGGTAGTTTGCTTAGCATTGTCACTACTGAACAAGAACTTGTAACAGTTCAACTCAATGCATACCATCAGTTAGGGCCACAATTCACGGAATTGGCTATTAAAACACCTGTTAAAATAAACAGCACTATTTACATTCCAGTAATCCAATGGTTGGTAGGGCAGCATCAGTCAAAAAAAAAAATCAATCAATACCTCTCAGCTCTGAAAAGTAATCTCAGTGGGTGCCATTTTCTACAAAACAAACCTAAGAGAAAATTAACAATATAAATATCCTTTATTTCCTTCTTGAAAAACTGCACATGTAATTGATTTACCACAAAGTGAAGTAAATCATTCATGGAAAAAATATCCAACACAAAACTTTGGAATAACTGTGCTGAATGGTTCTTCGAGCAGAATCCATAACGTGGCAATACATTGCTTTGCTGTATAAGCCATAAATAAGGCCTGTAACAAATTAAAGATGTTTTTCTCAGTTTGACATTGCTAGATTCAGATCATGAAAGGATGGAAACACCACAAACTAGTGGATTTAAACTGGTTTTAAAGGCTGAATGTTTTTTATCGTCGTGCATTCTATGCATGAAGGTGAAAAACCTTCAGTGTGCAGCCCCCCACTCAGCCTCCCTAATACTTACCTGAGCCTGACCGCGATCCAGCACTGTGCATGAGAGAAGCAGCTTTCCCCCTCCTCATTGGCTGGGACACAGCAGCAGGAGCCACTGTCTGTCAATCATAGCTACTGAGGAGGGAGCAGGGCTGAGCAACACTCTCTGTGTCTCAGACACACAGAGGCAGCTCTGGAGCGAGCACACACGAATGCCCCCAGAGCAAACAGCTTGCTTTGGGGGCACTTAACAGGGGGGAGGGGCCAGGAGCACCGGCAGATGAGGATCATGGCTGCTCCATGCAAAACCATTGCACAGATCAAGCATGATATGTTTGTTGATTTAAAAAAAGCAATCCTTTGGTATCACTTTAAATCCTTTAAGCAGGCTTGTTGTGCTTAGGGATGCATAGTGTTAAATTGGAATTCCGGGATAAACCCAACTACTCTTAAAACTGTCTCCTCCCTCTTGTAACATCTATTGCTTACTAATCTGTGTACGAAAGATCTATATACTTACCTATTTTCAGGTTGCTCAGGCCTAGGGAGAGGAGAGAGTGCTCAACAATGACTGGTAATGCCTAGGAGCACAACATCATTCATAGGTTTTAATGGCCCATCCTTTGTCGCCGCTCCCTTCTATCCCCTGCAGCAGCACTGGCTGACAGGAGGGCAGATTCACGTGACTGGAGTGGCTTGAACATAGAAAAAAATATAGACATCTTACCTACACAGGTTAGTAAGCGCTGGTGCACAGGCCTAGGGCATTACCATAAAAATGTTTAATAAAAAATAAAGTAGGTATTGTACTCACAAATGACAGAGCTCTGAGGAAGAGGCAAGTCCTCAAAACGCGTCAGCCTTTTGGATGTCTAAACTCCCTATTGCGGACTGTTACTCAGCGCAGTGTTGACCCAGCTGTTCTTTATGATGTGCCTTGACTATATTGTCCTTTGTGAGTACAACACCTACTTTATTTTTTATTAAACATTTTTTATGGTAATGCACTAGGCCTGTGCGTCCTCTGTTTTGTCTTTCCTCATTCAGTATATTTGGATTTCCCCGGTCCATTTGAGGGCAGCAAGGTGTGCATGTTCCAGGACATTCTTAATGTGGTTATTGCCTGCATCGAGTCCATCCCCAAGCGCAGGAGCATTTGTGTTTGCTGGTTCTTAGTAAGCGCTGGTATTAGGAGGAGGGAGAGGACAGTTTGGGTTATCCTGGAGTTCCACTTTAATTATTACTAAAAGAATGAAGAAAACTAAATATGGCTGCTCCTGAATTTTCTATACACGACTACATGGATGAGGAAGGAGAAATATGCTAGAAGATATGAAGATCTGATGCCTACTATAACATAATAAATATATTTTACAGGGATGAAGTAGGTATGACATACGGCACTTATGATTGAACACAGAGGTACACATGACATTCTGATGAACTTGAGGAAAGCCTGTCATGAGGTAAACCCATATGCTTCTATCACTGACCTCCAAAAAATGCTAGTTCCCTGGCTTTCATGCTGCTCCTCTGTCTACGTGACTTTCAAAGGTACGGCAGAACACGCATGCAGTCAGCTGTCAAAAACTGTTGATTTACGTATCTGTTCTGAGTTAACATTCAAAAAATAAGATTCTAAAGTCAGAGGACCAGCAAGAAAGCCAGGTATCCAGTATTTTCTTAGGGAGGCTAACAATGGCAGGTTTTAAATATTTCTCATATGAAAGGTTTCTGGCCACAGTAATGTGAATGGCCAACAAACTGACATGAATAATAGATATATTTACATGAGATAGTTGTGTTGAACCAAGATTCCTATTGTGGCATAAGAAAGATTTCTGAATATCATACCACCCCCCACCCCCCAACTTCCATGACCCTAAAATGTAATTTGTTTGAATATGTACATACATATAACCCTATAGTGCCTGGAGGATGCGCACAAATTATTTTCCCAGACAGTATCAGAAACCGATGCAGCAAAATTCACAGCTCTAAGGTCTGAAATGCATAGATATTGCAAAATAAAAATATTTTTTAACTTTTGGTGACATTTTACATTGACAAAAGGATCATTCATTTTCAGAATAATTTACAAATACCACGCAGGCTTCAGAAATGGATTTTGACGCAAGCACTGGATGAAGATTAGGGTTTAAAAAAAAAAATGTGAAAAATGTGTGTATATATAAATTATATATATTATATACACATACATCCTTAATTACTTGTCCTCCGATGAACATATGTTGCTGTAATTACCTAAAACAGAAAATTGTAATTTCTTCTTCAATATTTGTCAGCAACTAATTAACTGAAAACATTGGCTCCTTTACTGAAACATTTATAGGTTATTAATACAGTGAATATGCAAACAGGCCAGAAAATCACATTCTAAATTGGGAATAAAAGCAGTACTCAGAGAACTATATAAAAGGACTTATTAAGTAAGGCAAAGATCAGCGTGAAAAGTTTTACAAGTTTTTACAAGCAGTAAACTGAATTATGATTGGTCTGCATGAGTAAATGTACCTATAACCATTTTTTTCTTGTAGCTACACTCAACGGTCTACAACTTGCCCGCTCAACAAGAGGCATATTTAGTATAATTTAAAAAAATATATGATTATTCAGACACTGGAAAAAATATGTTGCTGCAATATTTATAAAGAAAGAAGAGCTGCAGAGTGCAGTAACTCCTAACAACCAATCAAAAAATAAAGTTTCAATAGCTAAACTGAAAAAATAACATACTGGTTGTCATAATGGATAGCACACAGTCACTGCCCTTTGCATGGTTATTATTAATTTCTTAGTGTATCCCATTTAAAGCTAGGGTCACACATGAATGCATTTTTTTTTTGCGCTTTTGTGCTCCACGCATAGAGCAGCCCATTCATTTTACGGGGCTGCCCTATGTGCTACAAACACACCAAAGAAGCTTATATGCCTTTGCTGGATGTTGCACTTTATGCATTTTAAACTGCGTTTTGATGCTTTTTCACGCTGCGAAAAAAAACGTCTGCTTGCCATGTTTAGGGTGCAATTACCAATGAATGATACCACAGGCATGACACGTTTTGTGCATGTTCCATGAATGTTCATGTAACATTAAAGTGTGATGCAACCTTAATAATCTTCTTTAGAATTATTTAGTTATATGGCATCATTTGGCAGCTGCCCACACCCCTATCACCATTAAGCATAATTTCCAAAATTTTAAATACTAACATGAGTAAGATATATCCAACCCACCTGATCATATTTCTGGGCCAGTGGGAACTAAAACAAATTAGTTAATTAGCATGACAATTACATCTTACACAATGGACTCAAAGGGCTTGAAAGAGTAATAATAGAAGATGTTATATGGTTGACGTAATTCAGAATAAAAATGTAATGTTCCCCACCTCACACAGTGCTGCATATATTTAATTGAAATTAAATTTTAAAAAATTCATTTCTGAAGCCTTTTAAAAATGAGTTCCATTCAGACTTCACATGGAGACTTAAGTATGCAATGCTGGTGACCATGTCCAACTCCTGAATGGAGACACTATAAAAACTCTAGTGATGGACTCTGCAGTGTACAATGCATTACAAACCCCACCAGCAGTGCATATGGGACAATCGTATTGGAAACAAAAAAGAAAAAAGCCACTGAAAGCAACTGCTACGTAATTGTGACAATATGGTGGCTGCCATTTTCTTGGATAGAACTTTTCGCTTCAGTAGTTGTTCTTGGCTTAGGTGGCCAATCTGGATCCACCAAAAGTTCCTGTGCTAAGTGCATGTATTTGGCTTTGGGCATCTTTTTTCTGCAGAAACACAAAAATGAGCAGAGTCGTCCTCCCCAATGATCATTGGCTTCCTAGGAAGAAAATATACAGTAAGTGATTGGCTTACAGTCTTCTGTATTTAAGTAACAATGAGACGAGTTAAAAATAATAACAAATACATGAAAGCAGCCTAACTTTCATTTCTATTTAATAAAAAAAAAAAAAAAAAAAAAAAAAAAAAAAAAACAGACCAGTATATCCAACCCCAAGAGGACATAAGGAAAATATACATCAAGTCCACATTCTTAATACTTTACAGCTTTGATATCATCCATAAGGAGTTCTCTGGGAAACATTATATTAGCAGCACTGGTTAACCATAACAAGATCCTCTCACAAACTCACACCATGCACATCAACACATTCACCAGTCTATCTCAGCAGCTGTTTGTGCAAATGTAGCGGGAAGATGAACACACACAGATAACAAGGCACATGACTCTGCACAGCAGCTAATGCAAAAGATAAAGGGACTGCAGGGTTTAAGCTGCCCAGTGCATATGAACAGTGAAGTTCCAACCTGTGGGGGGTGGGTGACCATGAGGTGGGACTCTCCCTGCTTGTCTCGGTTGAACACAAGCTTCCAGAGTATCATATCAAGGACGACAGTCTGTGAGAAATTGTAGGTGGGTAGGAAGAATTAAAAGGACCAATTCATTAGAAACATGCAAATTATTAAAATTAATATTTAAAACAGGTTATGGTCAACTATTAGAATCACAATTACTGTGCTTTCAATTATATCTGGTACCTGGGAGAAACCTATTCTAATAGACATATGCTTGTTTGAGATTTTACCTGTCATTACTTAATATATTTCATATGTGGTTCATCAATGAAATTGAAGGTGTTTGTAAAAGGGGTGTTATTTAAGAATGACACCTTAAGGGCTCATTTGCAAGGACGTGGAATTCCTGTAAATGATGTGCATTTCAAATTCACATCAAATGCAGGTCAGCAGATTCCCATATGCCTTTTAGTCTTTTGTTTTGGATAGATAAGAGAGAAGTTAGGACACTTGTCAGGTTTTTATTACTTTCTGTGTCCCTGTTAGAGAGATACATCCTATTTGTTATGTTTACCTTTATCACATAAAGTGAAGGAAATCCCACATTTTTGGTTGTCCCCAGTGTGAGGAAAAAAGGGGAAATCTTCCAATGGTGACATTAGTACTGGGTACCCTGGTGACAACCAGGGATTCCCTCACTTTTGAGGGATTTCCTCTCATTTTCTGTTCTGGCTATGGGTCAGGGAAGAAATAAAAATCTCCCCAATGGGACACAGATGGCAAAAAACCTTGCAGGGTTATAACCCTTCCTTAATCTATCCAAAGGAAAAAAAAAAACAACTTTTGTCTTTAAACCTGAAGTTTAGATATGATTGTTTTTGCATAGTTAGATTGGAATAGCCAAGATCAGTTTACGTATGCATATCTCATACCTGACTGCTCCCTATGTAAGCTGTAAGTCACTGTAGTAGCTGCCAGGTGCAGCAAAGTAGCTGCAATTCTGCTTAGTAACCAGAGGGTAGCTCACTTGGCACTGCCACCATTCAGAAAAAGCCTTGCATTTTTTCAATGAACAAGGGGGTCTCTAATTTAACAAAGTGGACCAGTAACAATCTTCACTTTTTTTTTTATTAAAATATATTATACTTACCTTCTCTGTGCAATGCATTGCACCGAGGGGCCCAGAACCTCTTCTTCTGAGGTCCCTCACTGGTGCTCTCCGCTCCTCCTCTTCTGCGAGTGCCCCCACTGCACGTCACATGCTATAGGGGCATTCATGTGGGCACGCTCCTGAGCCTGGCTATGCAAGTCCACAAAGCGTGACTCGGCTCACAGACTAATGTACATGTTAAATGTGCTACGATGGAATGCCCTGGAGTGAATGAGCTCTGTATCTGATGAATGCTGGACAAACATTAAATATAACTGCACCTCATCAAATAGCACAAACCAGTGAATGTTGGTACCTTCACTGTTAGCGTGAGGAAGGATTACAACAGATGACTGTAAAACCTGACAGAGGCTCTGTTTGAGAGATTCCTTTACTTCCAGTCTAGTAAAAAGATTTGTTTCCAAGGACAACTGGAAATTTCTTTAACAGGAACACAGACATAAATAAAAAGGTTTTAACTAGGGGAATGCTTAAACCGGTCAATATTTTTATTGCTGTTTCCCTGCTGCAGACCTTCCATCACTACCTGACTGGTAAAATGTTGTCTATAAAACATGAAGATGAAATCTCACACAGCATTAAAACCTGACAGGGGTTCTAACCCGTCCCATTCTATCCAAAACAAAAACAGAAAAAAAACTTTGAGAAAATTTTTGTAGTTGTGTCCACAGGACAAGGATTACCATATGGGCCCTGTTTCACAGTACAGACAGCTATGTTCTAAGACTATTAGCATTCACAAAGGAATCTGCATGATGTGTAACAAATATTGTGGATTCTTTAGCATATATCCATTAGAACAGACTCCACAGTAAACAGCTTTGATTCATATTGCAATTATATATTTAAAAAGGCATAGTTTGGGACATCTCTATTCAAGGAAAGTAAAAAAATGTTCAGAGATGTCCTCAAAGCATGCCTTCGCTGCATAGTTAATTATTATTCAAAATATATGTGCTCTAATTTATGTCAGCATAATAATAAATGACCACTGTGCTTGACACATGACAGGAAGTCTGAAACTGTGCACAGTTCAGGCTAAAGTTGAGAAATTAAATCTAGAATGCTTAGCAGATGTAATTCTAAAAATGCAATTATTTTACTAATACGCCTGTAAAATTAAGTAAAAAATGTTGCCAATACTGTGTACATTTTTCTATTTGGTTCAGACTCTCTGGTAATGCCATAATCACCTTTAAACACAACGAGATCCATTTATAGGCACTAGAAACCTTTATATGCATACTGTTTTATTTGAAGTTTATCACATTTCTCCAACACTTAACATAGATCTTAGAGCCACTGAAGTAAAAAATCCATCCTAAACACACGTGAGGATTGGCCTTCATCTTTTAGTATTCATAACAACATTGCGACTTTTGTCATTTTGGTCATTTCAAATAGCGCACCAACTACTTCACTATAATAGATTTGAAGTGAGCCTTTATCAATAGCAGGACTAGATTGTCTCTAATTGGTTGGTCCAAGGAACGTTTTCACCTGTTCATTTCAAACAAAAACATCCCCATGCCAAAAAGTGTGCATGCCTTATTGTTAAATAAAAGCAGCAAATGCATGCCTGCAATGAGCACGCGCTTCAAAACACAGCTTTGCTGCAGTACATAAGGGCAAGAGGCATCAACAACAAACACATCATACTCTGACTTCCTGTGCTATAAAGCAGCATGCTTCACAGAAATACGTGCGGCATCATTTGTTTGCTTTCTTAAAGCATCAGGCACTTTTTTTTTTAAAGCCAAGTTTAAGCCAGTTTTAAACAAGTTTTGTTTGCAAGGAAAAATTTTTTATACTGTTATTATGCCTTTAATAATCCTAAACCAATAATCCTATTTTTTTGTGAAAGTGACATTTTAAAGCCACAGCTCATCATTCAAGCGAAAGTTGGATCAGTACACTATATAGAGTGCTTTGCGTAACATAAGCAGTCACCCCACTTTGAAATTTGTAGTGGTAAAACCTGGGACTAAAATAAATTTGCGCTATTCTGACACTGGTATGCGCAAAACAGCTTGAATCTAAACATTGGTAGTTTTCCAAATTGTGTACAACCACCATTTCAAAGGTTTTGATTGTGTTAAGTATTCAGAATCTTCACTGTGAAACCCCTAAGGTCTGGTTCAGCCAGGAGTTAAATCATTTACTGCATGGTGGCCCATTCCCACGCAATATAATTGTCAAGTGATTTAAACAAAAGCACACCTATTTCCATTCAATAAATGCACTTTTTTTTTTGCAGTAAAAGAAAAAAATGCATTTCATTTTTTTTTTCCTATGAGCTTGTAAATTAGTGCATCAACGATCAGCAGACAGCAGATGCAATGTCAGGCTCTTGCAGACTGTCAGGGTAGCTATCTGCCTGTATCTTTGATACGGGCAAGCAGTTACTTCAGTCCACAAAGCTCAAAGGACAAGAGTGCTCACCAGCAACCTTGCAGCTCACTGAGAATCACAAGCAGTTAGCCACAGCTGGTAGTACTAAAAATGGGTGGAACATGTAACATTTTCCAAAAGGTAAACTCCCTTAAGGAGTAAGAACAATCAAAGAAAAGTCAAACAGAGAGCTACGGAAAACACCAATCAGGGTTAAGTTAAGCTGGGAAAAATAAATCTCAAACTTTAAATGTCTCCACAAAAATCAGAGTTCTAACTAGGGTTGCCACCTCATCCCTTTAAAAACAAACACATTAATTGCACAGGTTCTGGGCCTGATTAAGATGGTAATTAAACTCAGTTGGTGCCTTATCTGTGTAATTAATATATGTTTGGGTTTAGAGGGTGAGGTGGCAACCCTAGTTCTAACACTAAAAGGTTTAAAGCTGTAATTACAGCCAAATATGATACTATCAAGGTAAAAGCTGGTGCAACCAACAAATTCAGTTTTTGCTTTTTTTTTTTTTTAATTACACTTTTATGCACCTTCAAAATGTTAAATATCAAATTAAATGGCATCAATCCCATTTAAATTCATTTTAATTTCAAATTGTAACACTACAAAATTATAAAAAAAAAATACAAACTAGTCTAATGCTCATGCAAAGCACTTTATATGTGATTCATGCGTACATCTCAAGAAACCACTCCTGTCTGAAGCCTATACTATTATTATATTAATATTACCGAAAGCTTCTAGGTCTTACCTCTACCAAAACTGATGCAAGTGCATTTCCAATAATAATGAACAGCATTACAAGGCGCCATTGAAATGGGACACAGACCAGCTGAAAAAAATACAATATATAGAGTGAAAGACAGTCAATCATACTTGAGTATGATTGTACTTAGAGTACATCTTACCTCAAAAAAGCTGTCAATTGAGTTTATAGGGTACAGCATGAAGAATAGTATTAAGGCATAGAGAACCAACACTGAGATTACAAAGAGATCTAAAGGAGAGAATGACAAAAGGACATTAAAATCATTATATGTTGAGTCTCTAGAAAACAATTTTGGATTTTCCTATGATGTTTTCCCAAAAAATACAACTGGAGGGGGAGGGGGGTTACTGATGACCTGTGAAAGCATGTATCCCCACTCCTCCTCTGTTAGTAGAGATAAGCAGCATATAGTGTCGGCACATTGCGCTGAGTAATTCCCGAGCTAGGCTATTTCGGAAGTTATCTGTATGGATGGCTGTGGCACATACACCCCCTTCTCTCATGCTCATGCATGAGACTCCTAATTAGTCTGTCAGTCACAGGAGAGGGGGGTGTGGTGACATGTTTTTCATGAGTCGGGCTTTTTTACTGTAGGAAAGCAGAGAGAATTTCAGATGACTGGCTGCTTCTTTTTCGGCCAGACCAGGGACAGAAGATATCTGCTGCTATGCTGTGTGAGGTAGACTAGTCATTTAAATTTTTTTGGAGTTTGCAACCACTTTAACTGCTTGCCAACCGCATTACTTAGATGTATGGCGGAAAGGCGGCTCTCCTGCGATGATCACGTACCTAGTACATGATCCAGCTCTCCTGGTTAAAGGGTGCGCATGCCCGCTTCCCGAGCTGTGCGGTGATTAGACACAGAAGCCAATCGGCAGGTCCCGGCCAATGATTGACGACCGGGACCCATTAATTAAATGTAGAGCCTGACAAGACAGAGTTCTGTGTACGTAAACACCACAGAGATCTGTCTTGACAGTGGGGATGTGAAGGTTTTTGTTTCCCTGAAAAGCAGGGAATAAAAACCGGCACATCCCTCAGTAAAATTACAACACAGTAAGCACACAAAGCACTATTAGGCACACACTTAACCCTTTGATTGCCCCTAGATATTATCCCATTCCCAGCCAGTGTCATTAGTACAGTGTTGGTGTATATCATTAGCACTGATCCCACAAAGTGTAAGTTAGTGTCAGTTAGTGTCAGATTGACTATACTATCATAGCATGGATATGTTTTATAGCAGAAAGTAAAAAAAAAATTTTTTCAAAACTTTCAGGTCTTTGTTTATATAATAAAATATAAATATAATTTTAAAAAAAAGCCCAGAGATGATCAAATACCGCCAAAAGAAAGCTCTATTTGTGTGAAAAAAATTGATAAATTTCATTTGGGTACAGTGTTGCATGACCGTGCAATTGTCAGTTAAAGTAACGCAGTGCCAAATAGAAAAAAATGGCCTGGTCATGAAGGGGGTAAAATATTCCAGAGATGAAGTGGTTAAAGCATAAATTAAATCTCTAGCAGTCAAATCAAATAAGGATAAAGACCAGTTCCTCGCCATATTATATGTACAGAATTTTTCACTTAAAGCTCTCTATAGCAAGGAATAGAGGTGGGTGTAACAATACCTAAATATAAACATCTCCACTACACAAGAAAACAAAAATAGTACAGCTGTGTAAAAAAAAAAAAAACACGTACAGTTTTTGTAGCTCGGCTGGCGAAATGGTTTTCCTTTTGAAAATACAATTGCCACAATGAGGTACTGGAAGCTGGATATATAGAACAGGGTTGTGTTCTCATAGTTTCTAATGTTATGCTCATCAATCTCAGTGTGATTTTCATGACCATCTAAGGAGACATTGCATACACTGGAAGAGAAGAATAGAAAGATCATAACAGGTGTAATAGGCCACAAGTAGAGGACTTGTTTTAAAGCGGGACTATACTCTACATATAATAATAATCACTTCAGTGATGTGGTGTACATTAATACCCTCGCCAGCCGTTGACCTCTTTGGCTGGTTTAGATTTTCGGCCACTTTGAATGGCCAGGCAGGCCGACGTCACTCCAGTATATGCAGATTTCCGCTGTGCATGCAAAGCTCAGTTTACATTGCAAACTGGTAAAAATACTTTAATGCAGAAAAATATGTCTTCTGTACTAAAAAAAAAAAAAATCTGCCTGTTCATAAGTTTTTAATTTGTGTGTAAAGTTCCACTTTCAATAATGGCTATAAACAGTAAGACAATGACACTTACTTGCTGCTGGGTGTCCAGACTTCGTACCAGGGTTCCTGTTTCACAAGCAGAAAAGCCATGGTTTGGAATGCCAAGCAAATTAATATTTGGGAAAGGACAGAAAATAGAAGGGGCCCAGATATTAGACCGGATGGGGGTCTTTGTGCTACCAACTCTTTCCAGGCTGGGTTTAAACTCACTGCAAATGAAATGAAAGTTCACTAAATCTCAAATACACATTCAATACAGGAATATATGATTTATTCTTAATTATAGAAATACGATAATTTGATTTTAAATAAAATATTGTTAGCTTAATGAATGTATTATTACTAGAGTGCTTTAAACTATCTAGAAACTTGCAAAATGGTGTTTCTATCTGCACAGTAGTGATTTTTACACATTTGAATTAACACAAAAGTGAATTTTTTGGCATGTCTGGAGAAGCATTAAAAAAACACACATGCTAGCATTGACTAAGATATATACCAGCTCAAGAAAAAAAAAGCAGCAGACATGCCTGAGGCATGGGGAAATATTATACCAGTGTGCTTTCACACAAAGGACTCAAAAAGAAATGGGAAACAGAAGTAGTATCATCAGAGGAAAAAACACAAATAGAAACAGCAAGCAATATCCTCTGTCTGCCATGAAATATATTTTTATCCAAAAGCTCCTAACTCAGAATTCCCCTAAATTTTTAAATAAAGGGCTAGTTTACTGTCCAGTTCACATGCACTGGTGTCAATGATCCGTGGGAGTAATAAATGCTCTGACGTCAGTGGGTGAGATAAATGCCCCAGCACTAGTGGGCGTTTAGAAATGCCCCAGCACTAGTGAGCGTTAATAAATGCCCCAGCACTAGTGAGCGTTAATAAATGTCTCAGCACTAGTGGGCGTTTAATAAACGTCCCAGCACTAGTAGGCGTTATTAAACGCCGCAGCACTAGTGGGCGTTAATAAACGCCCCAGCATTAGTGGCCGTTAATAAACGCATTAGTGGGCGTTAATAAATGCCCCAGCATTAGTGGGCGTTAATAAATGCCCCAGCATTAGTGGGCGTTAATAAATGCCCCAGCATTAGTGGGCGTTAATAAATGCCCCAGCATTAGTGGGCGTTAATAAATGCCCCAGCATTAGTGGGCGTTAATAAATGCCCCAGCATTAGTGGGTGTTAATAAATGCCCCAGCATTAGTGGGTGTAACAAACACCCCTACAACTTTATAGTAAGAGATACTCCTGAATCAGTGGTCCACAAACAAAAATGCTCCTACATTGTGTCAGTGTCAGTCAAGAGACAGTATTGGATTGTATTAAATGACATCAGGACAACCAACAACTCAGTCCTCCTGTTCCATGCCCTTAAGACATTCTGTTGTAGGGACCGTTTTAGAAACCTTCTACTCATAATTCCAAAAAGCATTTTTGCTGCCACCTCAGGCCACAAGCTCTTAGTTATACAGTGCCTTGAAAAAGTATCCATACCCCTTGAAATTTTCCACATTTTGTCATGTTACAACCAAAAACGTAAATATATTTTATTGGGATTTTATGTGATAGACCAACACAAAGTGGCACATAATTGAGAAGTGGAAGGAAAATTATAGTTTTCAGTATTTTTTACAAATAAAATATTTGAAAAGTGTGGCATGCATTTGTATTCAGCCCCCGAGTCAGTACTTTGTAGAAACCACCTTTCGCTGCAATTCCAGCTGCAAGTCTTTTTGGGGATGTCTCTACCAGCTTTGCACATCTAGAGAATTACATTTTTGCCCATTCTTCTTTGCAAAATAGTTCAAGCTCTGTCAGAGTGGATGGAGAGCGTCTGTGAACAGTAATTTTCAAGTCTTGCAACAGATCCTCAATTGGACTTAGGTCTGACTTTGACTGGGCCATTCTAACACATGAAATTGCTTTGATCTAAACCATTCCATTGTAGTTGTTGTTCTGCTGGAAGGTGAACCTCCGCCCCAGTCTCCAGTCTTTAGCAGACTTTAGCAGGTTTTCTTCTAAGATTGCCCTGTATTTGGCTCCATCTTCCCATTAACTCTGACCAGCTTCCCTGCCCTTGCTGAAGAAAAGCATCCCCCACATGATGCTGCCATCACCATGTTTTACGGTGGGGATGGTGTGTTCAGGGTGATGTTACGTTTTCCGCCACAGATAACATTTTGCTTTTAGGCCAAAAAGTTCAATTTTGGTCTCATCTGACCAGAGAACCTTCTTCCACGTGTTTGCTGTGTCCCCCACATGGCTTCTGACAAACTGAAAACGGGACTTCTTATGGCTTTCTTTCAACAATGGCTTTCTTCTTGCCACTCTTCCATAAAGGCCAGATTTGTGGAGTGCATGACTAATAATTGTCTCGTGGACAGATTCTCCCACCTGAGCTGTGGATCTCTGCAGCTCCTCCAGAGTTACCATGGGCCTCTTGGCTGCTTCTCTGATTAATGTTCTTCTTGCCTGGCCTGTCAATTTAGGTGGACAGCCATGGTGGGGATGGTGTGTTCAGGCATGTGCAGTGTTAGTTTTCCGCCACACATAGCATTTTGCTTTTAGGCCAAAATGTTCAATTTTGGCCTCATCTTGGCTGCTTCTCTGATTAATGCTCTCCTTGCCAGGCCTGTCAGTTTTGGTGGATGGCCATGTGTTGGTAGCTTTGCAGCTGTGTCATACTCTTTCCATTTTCGGATGATGGATTGAACAGTGCTCTGTGGGATGTCCAACGCTTGGGATATTTTTTTTCATAACCTAGCCCTGCTTTAAATTTCTTCACAGCTTTATTCCTGCCCTGTCTGGTGTGTTCCTTGGCCTTCATGATGCTGTTTGTTCACTAATGTTTTCTAACAAACCTCTGAGGGCTTCACAGAACAGCTGTATTTATACTGAGATTAAATTACACACAGGTGGATGCTATTTACCAATTAGGTGACTTCTGAAGGCAACTAGTTCCACTAGAATTTAGTTAGGGGTATCAGAGTAAAGGGGGATGAATACAAATGTACGCCACACTTTTCAGACATATGTACAAAAATTTTGAAAACCATTTATTATTTTTCTTTCATTTCACAATTATGTGCCACTTTGTGTTGGTCTATCACATAAAATCTCAATAAAATACAATTATGTTTTTGGCTGCAACATAACAAAATGTGGAAAATTTCAAGGGGTATGAATACTTGTTCAAGGCACTGTATAACTAAGAGCTTGTGGCCTGAGGTGGCAGCAAAAATGCTTTTTGGAATTATGAGTAGAAGGTTTCTAAAACGTAGATTTAGCCTTCTATTCTAAGGGGTAACAAAATAGCCTTACCCACAGCCAAGCAGCCAAGATGAGGCCTTACCCACAGTCACTTATTGGATGTAAGCATCCAAGTAGTACTAAACAAAACCTTCACCTTAAAAAGCTGAATGTTCCACATGTTTTTAGCAGGGCATTTCCACTGACAACATTTCAGTCATAAAAATCTGCACAAGTGTACAGAGAAGACCCCAAGTGTGAAAGTTGCTAGGCAGAGACCCTAAAGGTGTCCATGGAGAAACTATGGGCATGTGAAAGATCCTCCACGTTTCTGCTTGCTTTGTTATTTCCATTTGTATAACCCCTCCTCCTGTCATGCGATGAGCAGAAACCTTAATTCTTTGGCAAATGCCAACAAGAGCGGGAAGTAAAATGGTTTCAACCAGCATAAGTTAAACCTAAAATAAAGCCTCCAGATGTACGTCCAAGGCATCCTTAACCATTAGCCGCCCGGCCAATGGCCGTTTGGCGGCTTCAGATGTGCCTCTCCGTTCCGGGTACACGCCATTTGGCGTGCTCCCGCACATGCGCCGTTTGCGCTAATGCAGAGCGGCGCAGCAGTGCGATCTGTCACCGGCCGTGCACCTGGGACACGGCCGATGACAGATCCGAGTACCGGCTCCCGTTGCTGGTACCATGTGACCTGCTGTGACCAATCACAGCAGGTCACATGACAGTTGTATACAATGGATGGCTTCATTCATAATGCCATCCATTGTATACTAGTGCCTAGCTGTGAATGGTCACAGCTAATCACATGCACATGTCATGTGATTAGCTGTGACCAAATCACAGCTAAGCACAAAAAAAAAAAAAAAAAAAAGCTGAATGAATCGATTTCATTCAGGCAAATGCTTGCTTATAGCAAAGTCATTCTTTGCTATAAGCAAATTGTGTAAAAAAAAAAAAAAAAAATACTGATCACTTCCCCAAAGTAGTACAATGTTACTATGGTAACATTGTACTACTTTGGTCATAGTAAAATATGAAAAAAAAATCTTAAAAAAAAATGTAATAAAAAATTAAATATGATAAAAAATTAAAAAAAAAAAAAAAAAATATATATATATATATATATATATATATATATATATATATATATATTTTTTTTTTTCATACTGTCACCAGTCAGTGTCCCTGTTCACCGCCATGCCAGTTATATGATGACGCTGTACTGCACTGGTGACAGTATGTAAAAAAAAAAAAATAGTGAAAATAATTTTTTTAATTTTTTCATTTTCCGAAAAATTATGACAAAAAAATACAACTTCAAAAAACTCGCCATGCCTCTTATGAAGTACGTCGGACTGTCTACTCTGCAATAAGGGGTCATTTGGGGATATCTGTACTATTCTGACATTCTTGGACCTCAAGAAATTAGATTGGCCGTCAGTACTTCAGGATTGATCAATATTCAGATCTATACCATAGTTTGTGAACTCTATAACTTTCCTACAAACTAAAAAAATATATCCTAATTTGGGTTATTTCCACCAAAGACATGTAGCAGAATACATCTCGGCCTAAATTTATGAAGAACAATTATTTATTTGTAAACTTTTATAACAGAAACAAAGAAAAATGTGGTTTTTTTTTTTTTCAAAATTTTTGGTCTTTTTTTGTTAATTTAGCAAAAAATAAATACCACCAGAAGAAAGCTCTAGTTGTGTGAAGAAAATGATAAAATTTTAGTTTGGGTACAATGTTGTATGACCGCGCAATTGTCATTCAAAGTGTGAGAGCGCTGAAACCTGAAAAATGGCCTGGGCAGGAAGGTGTGAAATTGCACGGTATTGAAACGGTTAAATACCGAGACCTCGTTCACTGGGCGCATAATAATCTTTATAGAGAATGCCAAGTCCAAATATATACTCCAACACTGAACTCACTCTACATGG